TCAGAATTGAGTTGAACTCTTGGAAACCTGCAGGTGTCTGGGAATTGCTTGAGGGTGTGGGTAGGCCTAACACCCACACCGTGTTGGAGAGTGGTCTTGTTACAGGGCAGGGAGAGGGGCAGCCCAAACCCCGCAAACCTGCCTATTCTAAATGGGTTCTGCCACCCGCTGCATCAACACAAAACATAGGAGACTTTAACGGGAAGGAACTTTAATACAATTTGGAAACAAGACAGGAAAGGCAAAGAGTCTAGTTTCTAAATCAAGAACCCAAAGCTACCCGTCCCCTTGTGGGTAAAACTCCATCCAAATGGGATTGGCCCAGAGCAAGGCCCCCAAAGCCTACCACAAGTCTGAAGCATCTTCCAGTGGGAACCCACAGAAAAGGGTCAGAAACAACCAGACAAGCCCGGAAGGAAAAGAGCAAAATCAAAATCAAGATAAAAGCTGCCATGGTCACCTCCCCACGCGTCTCACCCACATCTGTGTCACCCAGTCCACGACCAAAAGACAAGCGCAGTTTCTCCTGCCTCCCACTGCTCCCCTCAGCAGTGTACTTTGGTCCTTCTGCCTGCTCTGCTCCCCGCTCTGTCTCTGGTGAATTCTCTCACCCTCCCGTGCTTCTGACTGTGCCCAGTGCTTGTATAAATAAATAAATAAATAAATCTTTAAAAAAAAAAAAAAAAAGAACAGGGTGGAGGGAGAGGTTAGGATGGGTGATGGGCCCTCCGGGGGCCAGGGCAGGGGTCACGGGCCCTGCTTGGAGAGAACCAGGGCTGAGAGCCAGGCTGGGCCTCCTAAGGCCCACCTGCTCTTTGGAATTGGAGCAGAACTGCCTTTGTTCAGTGCTTCACATCCAATGGATCGAGCCTGTGAACCTCCATCCCTCCCACCCCACCCTGACCCCTGGTGACTGTTTGCGGAAGTCTAGACTAGGACCTCTTCCCAGGTGAAGCTGGTGGTACTGGACTTTGTGCCACCCTTTTGGTAGCAGATCCTCAGGATAAAGGGTGAACAGAGGGTAGTGATAAGGCTGGTGAAGACAAGCCTGGAGATATTTCCCTCAGAATTTGGTTCAGTGGCTTGTAAAGCTCCATCGTGTCTCTACCTCACAAAGGGCAGCAAGAGAAGGGGGTTCTGTCTTCCCTGTGCCAGAGTCGTGAACCCTGAGCACCCTCCTGATGGCAGCAGGGACAAAGAAGTCTCCAAAGGGACAACTTCAGAAAAGGCAGAGGGGCCAGTGGGAATGTCACCCCCTGGGGAGGGTGAGTATTTCTGGTGAAGTTGGTGGAAAGGATCATACATGATCTGAAGAAGAGTTGCTGCCATGAGCCCTCATAGCCCCTCACCATGACCAGCTCATGGCCCATTTCCTCCAACCATCCAGGCTGTTCACAGCAGATCCTCCCAGAAATACTTTCAGACCTACCTTCAGAATGAATTCCTCTCTTTAATGATATACATGCTTGGTTTTAATAAAGGAGACAAATCTTTCTTGAAATCCATTTAGCAATATTTGTTAAAATAATTTGTTACAAAATAAAAATGTTAACAAAATAACGTTAGAGAACTTTCCCCTCGGCAGTGTACTTCAGTCCTTCTGCCTGCTCTGCTCCCTGCTCTGGCTCTGGTGAATTCTCTCACCCTCCCGCGCTTCTGACTGTACCCAGTGCGTGTATAAATAAATAAATAAATAAACAAATCTTTAAAAAAAAAAAGAGAGAGAGAACTTTTATATATCCCTTTGAGAAGATGAACCTAAAGATACAGAAAACTGCTTGTGGTTTAAAAAGTTAAGTAAAAAGGGATTAGGAATAATAAAATTGGATGACCTTAATTTATAAAACCATAATTATACACTATCAATATGTACAGGAAAAAATGGAAGAAAATATATCGGAATCTAATTGAATTTTTGGGTAACTTAAATTTTCTCCTTGTATATTTTCTGGATGTTCCAATTCAACCATGGACTTTTACCACAATCCCAAAAACATTAAAAAATACAGTGGTGGTGAGGGTTCCCCAAAGGGTGCTGTCATCCCAGGTCTTCTCACTCGGGGGGTGAATGCGCACTCTCCCTTGGCCCACAGCATCATTCTAGGTAGCCCAGCAGCTGCTAGCTTCTTTCCTTAGGTTTGGGGCAGCCTCTCCTGGCAACCCAGTCTCTTTTTGTGGCAATAGATTCTTTAGATAATGGGTGAACCTATTTCCTCCCCCAGCTTTCCTAGGATGAGTGCCTTTAAGCAACCATCAGCATCAGCCTGGGTAGTAATTTCTGGACTTAATTGATTGGGCAACATTACACAAGCTTAGTGTCCCCGAAGAGGCTGCAATGTCACATGTTGCCAATAGGTGGTGCTGCCTAACACAAAAGCGCAGGCCCAGGGTTCAAAAGATGGATTCCAGGGTCATTGGATAAGGGTGAGGGGGCAAATTTACCATCTAACACTGCCATCACAGCAAGAATATCCACCGCAACACCACATGGGAAGACAGAATGCCTTTAAGCAACCATCAGCATCAGCCTGGACCAGTAATTTCTGGAGTTAATTGATTGTAGAGTGAAGACAATACTAGAAATTGAATTCATTTCATTTTAGGGAACACTGAGATTGAGAGGGGGTGTCTTATTATTTCACCTTAAGCCAGTGAAAGCTTGATCCTGAATGGAACTCACCCTAGATAAGCCTACGGGAACGCTGCTCTAGCGAATTATTTCCCAGGTTCAAATTTCTATAAGCATCATTTTGCCTCAAGTTAATAACAGCGTTGTGTGCCCCGTGTGCAGTGAGACACGGACTAGATCTCCCCTCCACTCATCGTCATGGCAGAGCTGAGAGACACTTTTAAGCAGAGCCATCTCTCTTAAAAGTACAGATCCACCACATCATTCCTCCACGGTCTCCATCTTTGTGCAAATTCAGAGAGGTCAGCTTTTCACATGAGTGGCTTCGTGATCCGGACCACATTCGTTAGGATGGGCCAGTTCTCACCTACATAGCTTTGCACATGCAGCTCCCCCGCCTGCAGTACTTTCATTTCCTTCCCCTTCCTGGCATATGCCAAGTATTCCCCATCAAGTCAGCACCGTACCACCTCTCTGGAGCGCCAGCTCTTCTGCTTCCAAAGCACCTGGCATGTAATGACCCAGAAGTACGCATGCTGCTGGAATGTAAATCTCCTGTAGCTCAGACTGCATCTGCTCAGCTTGTAACCCCCCCTCTTCAGGGCTTGACACAGACAAGGTGACCAATGCACCTTCATTGATTTAGTGATTCTCCATGTTGGCAAAAAACCAACCATCATAGATCATTTTTAACATCCTCCCTTCAGGTATCTCTGATAAATCCAGAAGATTCTGGCAGGCTGATCAGAAGTTAGAGAAACAGCAAAAAACCCTAGGGTTTAGGGAACTGTGTTTCTGACAGGAAAAGTACAGTGGGTTTCCTAATCCTCTGAGGAAACCCTCCCCTCCCCCTCATGTTTTGGTCTCTCCTTGCAAAAAAAGAAAGAAAAAAAAAAAAACTTTCTGAAATGTATTGCCTCTGCCATGTTTACCAAGAAAGGATATTTGTTTAAAATGGAATCAAAAACCTCCACAATCTATAAATAGGAAGAATTTTGTGGCAAAAGAACAAATTGTTTCCAAGAGAAAAAAATCAAGCGAGAATGGGAAGACAATTTTAAGCAGAGTTGTAGTCTGTGTATCATGTAAGCTGTCTGGTGGAGACTGCAGACACGCGAGGAGATAAACATGTTTAATGATTAGTTTTTGGGGGTACTTATTACAGCCTTAAGCTGATTCTGCATAAGCAAAACGTTTACCTACGTGACTTCAATTACTCTTCACCACCATTCTATAAAGGAGGGATTGCACTCTCCCAGTTTACAGGCTCAGAAATGTTAAGTCACTTTTCTAAGATTAGAGATAAGAATGAAATTCAGGTCCAACGACAATGCCCAATGACTGCAGAACACTGACTTTTTCTTTACCATACTTGACTAAGTCTAACTTGCAGTTAAGTAGAGCATAATTCCTGCCTTTGTACAGATTATGAAGAGCAGGTTTGGATAGGAAGGCTCCAGACCTGCCAGGCCTCAGGGGCCCACCAGACAGGCCTGTCAGGAGCCACAGACGCACGGAACGGCCCCAGCCCATCCTGAATGGCCGTTGTTGTCTTTAATAAACACAAGCTGTTGGTTTAATTTTCTTACAACTTACCTCCTTCCCTAAAGTACAGGTCATAATGTGGCAAAAGTCAAAGAATAATTTCCTCAATTCTATAATTACCTCAAAACCAGTAAGAAACAGATCAGTAATTTAGCTTTTTCAGTGGGCCAAGGATATTAATGGATAGCTCAAAGAAAAGGAAATATTAAAGGTGCAACTTGTTTATTCATCCATTAGAAAAATGCAAATTGAAACTACAGATACCATATCCCACCTGATAAGACTAGCAAAAATCAGAAAGCTCTGTAACACACAGAGAACTCCCACACTTGTGGGTGGTAACGAACAATCTCTGTGGAGAGCAATTCAGCAATCTCCATCATAATTGCACAGACTCTGACTCAAGAGTTGTCATTCTGTGAACTCATCCTTCAGACTGATTTGCAAGTGAAAAATCCCACACACACAAGTGAAAAATCACCCCCACACAGTATTTATTGCAGCAATGGTTAAAACTGCAAAGGAATGGAAACCACCCCAAAATCCTCCCATCAAAAGAAGCTCGCGGGGTACTTATTACAGGGAACTGTGGTCAGACAGATGATGGACCATCTAAACATCCATACAACTGAGCAAGAATGGGGATACTCAGTATTGCTTGGGAACTTTCTAAAATACTGTAAAGAACAAACATGTAAGAAACTGAAGATAAAGGAAGCCTCTGGGGAGTGAGAGAATTAATATATACTCTTAGTACCTTTTGAATTTTGAACATGTGAAATACTTAAAAAAAGACAATGAAATTCATACATATGGAAGCCTTCCTTGCTACTAAACTTTCTGGCCTAGCTCCAGCTGAATTACTGTGCCCTGCCCTGCAGTACACGCTGCCTTAGGAAACCCTACAGATCAGAAAGTGGGGCTTTGAGGCAGTGATTTCACCCAGGTAGGTGTGGGCCCTGTTCCTCTTCAGGTCCTGGGAAGCATCTCCAGGCCAGCACTTCCTCCCTCTGCCCACAGATGGTGCTAAGAGACTGGGTGGGTTGGGAGTTTTGGGTCCCCAGGCTGCTGACCAAGAGGCGAAGAAACAGGCAGGCACAAGTAAGTAACATAAAATAAAAACTAGCTTTATTTCTCTGGAAGAAGCAGGTATCCATAGCTGGGGCAGCAGCTGTGGCGACAGAGGCTGGTGGGAAAACACCGAACAGCACAGGGGAAGCATTGGTGTCCCTCGGTCTCCTTCCAACTCTGGGGCCTTGGGCCCTGGTCCCTGCCAGAGAATGATCTGACCCCCTTGCTCTGTCTCCTAAACCACCTCAGGCTATTTCCAGGCACAACATCTTAAGACCAGCCATATCCCATAACATGTCCACGGCATGGCCACAAGTCACAGTCTGTCCAACACCCCAACAGCCCATCAGGGGCTCCATGGAGAAGGGCCCAGCCCTAGGGAGCCCCTGGGTGCTGGCCCATCTTTTTGTGTTGCCAACACATCCTCTCTGTCCGGCTTCCCTGTTGCAGGACCTGGGGACACACTCTAGCCACAGAACCCACCAGGGACTAGAGCGAGAGGCAGGTCAGCCACAGGGCCTAATGAGGCAGCTCCCAGGCCTGCCGTCACGCGGCTCCTTCCTGCACCTTGGCTGAGGGCACCAAGGGCTGAACCATAGTTGCAGGGATGGCGCTGGCTGAGGAAGGGACAGGCAAGGCGGGGCTCCCCCTCCTGCTGCCTTGACCTCATTCTGCCACTGGAAGCAGCAGGTGGCAGCAGGTCCTCCAGACCTGGGCAGGACATCTCCCCACCCTTGTCAGATGGACAGGCTCAAATGATTCCTTCAGGGCAGACCCTTGGCTCTCCAGACAGCTCAGCGCCTAAAGGATGGGAAACAACCAGAAAACACCCCCATCAACAGCAGCTGGTGCAACAGAGTATGGACCCATGGGAAATTACTGCCTCTTGGTGCCAGGCAAGTTTGGTACCAGGGAAACTGGTAATTTTAGGTAATAATTATGAAACTTATTCTGGGATGCCCCCCCCCCTACTTTAATAAGCAGCAGTATTGGTTAATAAAAAGGATCCAAGGGTGACAAGTACAGGAAAGCCGAAACTTATTTGGATGACAATTAGTGAGGAAAACCAGGAGATAATAGCTAACATTCAGTGACGGTGCTCCAAGGGCCAACATCTGCTGTGAAATATGACAGACAGACCCCTCATTAATTCTTCTGATCACTTCTGAGGTAGGCACCCTCATTTATACATGCACACATGGGGACCCTGAGGATAAGGACACCTAAATGAAGAAACATAAATGGTGTAAACTGACACCACCTCAGTTCTGGCTGGTTCTCTGCCCACCAGCGCCTCTCCTGGATGATGCTGGGATTTAGCCATTTCACACTACACCCCCTTTTGACTGTGAAAATTTTAAAATGCATTTATGCTAAATATTGTATGTTATTTATGTATGTACGGATTTTGTAGATGCCTAATTTTTTTTGCAGGAAAGTAATTTCTTTTTGTTAGTCCTTTAAAAAGGATTAAAACTTTTAGTGTTACTTTATAGTGAAATACGAAATACTTGTGTAAACCACACTCAGGCGCCATGGGAGGGGCTGGGGACGTAAGCCCCTTTCCACCAGAAAGGTTTGAACAATCCCCTCTTTACCAATTCGTTCATTTGAATCAAGGGGCCAAAATGTCTAAAGAGATGCACATGGGAGGAAGTGTTTTCACCCAGAACTTCTGGTCCCAGAGGAGGACGCTCCTCCCTCGCATGCCGCCCACCAGTCGAGCCTGTCTCCTGGCCAGGTGGTGGGCTTTTTCCTGGAGTGGTGTGCCTCTTGGGTCACCCCTTTGGGACAGGAAGGTGGCAGGGCACTCACTTCTGGTAGGTAGGGCCACAGGAGCCCAGAAGGTGGCAGCCAGCTTGTTCCAGGTTCCAGTCAAACATCTCCAGCACTTTGTGACACTCGCCTCGCGGCCGCAGACCCAACCCAAAGAGCTGCTCCACCTGAGGAGCAGAGGGCAGTGCCATGGGGCACACAGGGGCTAGGGGGGCACCCACCAGGACAGGGGCAGAAGAGAGCTAGAGGCAAGGGGTGGGGAGTGGTGAGAGCAGCAGAAGCAGTCTTCAGGGTCCCTGAAAGCCAGAGTGGGCAGGAGGTGATGGTACCTTCAGATACTGGGCAGCCCTCTGTATGCTCCAGCTGTGGCTCTGCAGGGCCGCCTGGCACTCCTCTGTGGTCACCCCATGCACCATGGCCTGTAGCTGGGCACACCCGCCCACCTGTCAGCACCACTTGGGCCCATTCCTCTGGGTCCCTTGGGCCCCTGACCCTGATCACCCGGCGGCCAGCCCTGATACTCACCATCTGGATCTTATCTGCTGGCCGTCCAGCCTCTAGCCCATCCCCAGGACAGCCCCTCAGTGGCAGTCGAGCAGTGGACCTCACAGCTGGTGGCCGGAACCCTGGGTTGCTGTTGTTGGTAGAGAAGTTCGCCTTGGGGTCTGGGGCAGTCTGGGGCATCGGTCGAACAGTAGCAGTGGGGGCGGCAGGAGCTGGGGTGCTGGGTGGGGGCAGCAGCAGTGGCACAGGCAGGGAGGTTGTCTCTTCAGGGCTCTGGGCCTCACGCAGGAAGCGCTGGTAACGTTCCAGGTACGGTGGACGTTCAGGCAGCAGATAATAGTGGGTGTTACTGACTTTCTTGCCATCTCGGACAATGGGCAGGATGCAAGGACCAGCCCGTGGGCCAGGTGCCTGGATCACCTGGGGGGTGGCGTATTTGGGGTCTGATGCAAAGCTTTGGGTGGTAGGCATGGTCTTCCCAGGTGAGCTTGAGAGTCGATGTGGCAGAGGGGAGCTGCCAGGTGGCACCAGGGGGCTGGGGGTCCTCGAGCCTTGAGGGGACAAGGGCTCCCGGGGAGGCACCCGGGGAGGGGAGGCAGGTCCAGGCCATCGAGCCATCTCCTCCTCACCTGAGGGGGCTGGAGACAGCTCACCACGTGGGCGCGTGGGCCGGGGTGGGATGGGCACCCGGGGGGGCACCTGGGGTTTGTCGTCACCCCCAGGGCTGGGTGAGGGAACCAGCGAACCAGCCGGGACCTGAAGCTGCCGCATGCACTCCTGCTGCAGTGCCTGGAAGATCTCAGCGGTCTGTGCTGAGTTGGGAGGTTTGCCTCCCCCCTGGGGTGGGAGGAACAGATTGTCCTCCAGCGGGAGGAGGAGCTGTGCCTGTTCAGGCACAAAGGCGTAATTGGTCTCGCCTTGGCTGTGCCCGGTAGAGACTCCTGTGCCCACGAGGGTGCTGTTGATGGAGCACACCTCAAAGTCATCCTCATCTTGGGCCACATCATCATAGGCAGGAGGCGGGGGCAGTGGACGTGCATCCCAGTCCACCACAGGTGTGGGGTGCAGGGGCCGGGGCAGTGCCCGTGTGGGGCTCTGCGGAGGGGTCTTGTCCAGCAAGGAGCAGGCATCCATGGCCAGCTGTGCCAGCGAGGGTGCAGAGGGTCGCGGGGCCAGGACCACAGGCTCCTCCCCGAAGTCAATGAGGGTGACTTCGCCCCCGCTGCCCCGGCCGGCCTTGGTGCCTGGAACCCGGGCGGAGGGCTTCGCTAGCCACAGCCCTCGGGGCAGGCTGGGCTTCCGCAGACCCAACCTCTTGAAGTCACTGGACAGGGGGTCTTGGTCCTCACTCACAGGATCGTAAGTTGGTTCTGCGATGAAGGGGAAACCCCAACAGGGAGGCAGCGTCAAGCAGAGAAACGGGAAAGGACAAAAGACAAGAATCCGCCCACCCCGCCCACCCCAATTCTCCACTCCCAGTTCCGCACAGGTCAGCTCCAGAACTTACTCAGGGCACTGTCTGGCCCTCTGCACACCCTGGTTCATCCCGCTATCTCAGCTAGAGGAAGCAGTACCCCACACCCATCTGCCCCGATACCTCTTCAACAACACAAGAACCCAAATACCCCCGGCTCCTGGTTAGTAATCCCTACCTGCACCCCAACATCACACCATTAGTGCAGCAGGGCACAGGGGCAATCCCGCACTGCCAAGGGCAGCAGGAGCGATGGCCGAGAAGACAGAGCTTCAGGACAACCACCGTGAAAGGCACAGTGTGTGCAGGTCCCACAGGGCGCGTGGCAGAGCCAGGCAACGGGAGAGGGGCAGAGTGGGCGCCAGGACCACACACCTGCTCCAGAAGCCCAGGCTTTTGGGAGTGGGGGGAGAGGCAGGCATGTTGGGCCAAGTCAGCAGCAAAAGCTCACAGCACACACCACCTCCCTTCCCGCCCAACGGCCCACAGGGGCTCTGTACCTTCTAGGAGAGGAGAAAAGAGAGGAGAGAGGGGGCGGAGGCAGGGGCCATGGCGTCGAGAGCAGCTCCACTTACTCTGAGTGAAGATGGCAGGCTGAGGTGGGCGAGGTGGAGGCTCCCCTGCAAGGAAGGCCATGCGGAGAGCAGAGGGTGGAGGGCAGGAGAGACAGGACAGGGAGTGAAGACAGTCAGACAGGAGGGCGGTGTGGGGGGAGAGAGAGAGAGCAGTGAATAGGGCGAGTGAATGAACAAACCCAACAGCAAATGGGAAGCAATGGGGCGGCAGGATGGGGAAAACCATGTTCCGGAACACGGGCACAGGATCCGGGAGATGGATGCGGCTCCTGGCCAACATGAAGCCCGTGGGGCGGTTTGGCTTGGCAGAAGAGGGCAGGATTAGGGAGAGTGAGAATGGCAGGATCCGAGCATAGCAGGGAGGAGGGCGGAGGGAAGCCGAGGCGGCCAGGCTACCACGGGACCACCCGAGGAGGCCCACCTCGGCGGATACAGCTGCCTCTCATCCACCACCCCACGCCCAGCGCACAGCTGTCCCCCTGTGGCCCTGACATGACCATCCCGGAGCCGGAACAGCTGGCTCAGGGTGGCTCAGGGAGAAGACAGTGCGCCTTCTGGGCAGCTGATGACTGAGAGGACACCTGGGAGTTGGGCTCTTACTTTTCACCCTTCCTAGATGTAGGGCAGGTCGGGAAGTGCTCAGCTCCACACTCAACAGGTCAGGAGGGTCCATGGGGTTTCCCAGATACAACCTGTGGGGACAGAACCAGATCAAAAAATGCAGGGAAGGACATACAATAATGACAGCAAGGACAGCTCTGGAGGAGATGCTGGGCCTGTCTCCTGGGATCAGGCAGAAAACAGAAACCGAAGTGGAAGGACCCTCTCATCGCAGACCCTTGCAGACTTGGGTCTGAGTGCAGAGCTAAGCTGTGAGCAGAGGAGGGCAGAGAAAGAACTCCTGACCACAGGTGAAAAGCCTAGGACTGTAGAGACCACAAGAAAATCCTAGAAGGGCAAAGCTGGCCCTCTAAACCCCACAGCACCCCAATCCACACCCACAGTCACCTGCTGGCACACTCTCTTCTCTCCTACCAGGCAGAGGCATCCAGGTCACACTCTCCAGGTCAAGGTAGGCAGAGGGAATTCTGCCCTGATGCCAGGAGGTGGGTAGGGGCTGGGTTGTCTGCCCTGCTCTCCATTCACCCTCAACCCCTGTGCTGACTGTCAACCCCCGTGCTGACTGTCAAGATCTGGGACTTAGTCACTGGGCTGATTAAAGCCTGGGGGAATGGGGCTGGGCTGGCCACAACATGTTTGCCAGAAGCAGGCACCCGGCCCTCTCCTGGAGGGTGTCTGCACTCTCTGGCCCCAATTCCCTCAGCATGGCTCCTAGATGCAGGGGGCGGTGGCGGGTGGGGCACATCCCAGAGCTTAGTGTTCTGCTGGAAGGGTGGGGGTGGGGGGTGGGCATGTGTTTAAGGGCCTGTTTCACCTCTCAGAGCAGAAACCTGTTGGAGAAGAAAGGGCTGCTGAAGACAGTATCTGGAAGCCCCTTGGGGCCAGCAGAGAGGGAAGGAAGCCTGGCGTGTGGAGCTGCCAGGTCAGGGCACCCAGGAGAAACTAATGCTGCTCCCTGTGTCTTCCCCAGAGGGCCCCCAGTGACTGCATCCTTTCACTTAAAGGAGATGGAAGCCCCCTCCTGAGTTCGGAGGGAACAGCAGGTGAAGGCAGCTGAGCTGCTCCTTCTGAAGTATCCCCACAGGGGTGGTTTCTATGCCTTGCTCCCCTAGTCTGAGAACACAGCATGGCACACTTCCACTCAGGCCTGTGCATAAGAGAAGTTGTACTGAGCTGTGCCTGAAGGCTATGCCCCATCTCATTTTCCTAAGGCCTGTGTGCGAGGGGTTGGGAGCACAGAGGGCTTATAGCTAAGTCCACCAAATGGAAGTGCAGGTGAATCCTTGGACGCTCCTAATCCCAAGTTTGCCTATGCTGAAAAGCTGTTGGGCAGTAAGACACCCTCCGCCCCACGGGACTGTGACAGGGATGCTGGGAGCCTGCGTGCCCAGGGAAGGACTGCTGGCCCCGCCCCAGACAGGGCCTGTGGTACTCACTCGTCAATCTTGTCAGGGAAGCCCCAGCAGTGGCGGGGGTCGCTGTCGCCATGCCCTGTGTGGATGAAGCTATTCTGCAGGGGCTGGCTGATGTCCTGGGCTGAGAGGCCAGCCACGGAGGTCACCACGTTGCGAGGGAAGGGCCCGACACAGAGTGTCCGTGTGTTCTGCCCGCGCCACCAGTAATTCTCGGCCCTGCCCAATAGAGATGACATGGTGAACACCAGGGCGTGGTGGCACAGCCCAAGGGAGGGGGACCCTTTACAAACCAAGCTCTTTTTTTATCCAATGTATCTGACCACCCTGGCAGGAGGGAACATAAGGAACTAAGGCCCCATGACCAGGGTGGTCTGTCATCAGTTCACCTCCTCCTAGCAGCCCCCCATGACCGGCCACTCCCCTAGAACAAGGCCTGATTGTTGGCACACAGCCTTACCCTAAGCAACCTAGGTGGGTCAGACAGCTTTCCTTATAGTTCACAAATAATGAAACAGGTTCAAACAAGTGACACGACCTGCCTACATTACCAGAAAGATCACAGTAGACCCAAGATTCAAATCCAGTTGTTAGACGGAAGTATGCACCTTCTTACAATATTACCTCACCTCCTTTCTTCCCTGGCAAGGGAGGTCCCGGGCCTCTTCTGGCCACCTGATTTCACACTTGCGCCCAGTTCCAGGAGTTATGAGCTCCAGGACCCGCGAGAGCACCATGGGCCTTGGGCTCTGGGTACAAGGCCACGTGCTCTGACTACAACCTATCTCCTGCATGCAGTCTCTTACATACTGAGGAGTAACTCATGCCTTCTCATCACCAGTTTTATAGTTCCAGTGTCTTCTGCTACCTCCTAGCAGTGCCAAGGGGTCCTCATCCTTGTCCCCACCCATCTCCTGGGGGGCAGTGCTACTGTCATCTAAACTAAGAGGTATAGGGCCTCGCTGGTGGCACAGGAGTTAAAGTCTCAATGTTATCAAACCACTGCAGCATGAGTTCGATCCCTGGCCAGGGAGCTAACCCACATGGCGCAGCAGACCTCTCCTGTCTCGCACACAGCTCCCCTCAGCAGTGTATTTCAGTAGATCAGCTGTTCTGCTCCCCTTTCTGTCTCTAGTGAATCCTTTCACTCCCTGCACCTCTGGCCTGTACCCCAGTTCTTATATGCATTTAAAAAATCTTTTTAAAAAAAAATAAAATAGGCGGTATAGAGGGAATGCAGCCTTCCAGTGTGGCTGGACTGTGAGACCTCCAGTCTCTCACTTTGGCCTTGGACACAAAACCTCTGCTGGCACAGCATAAGCCAGGGCATGGGGTATGGGGGATGCAAGAGAAGAGTGCCCTCCTGGATACTTCAAATGCCAAAACTCCCTGAGAGTCCACAAGGCTTCTGCATCTGCTGTTGGGATCACTCATACCCGACAACACATACGAGCAGAATCTGCATTAAGGCAGAGGTGGTGACAGCCTCCTGCTGATATGGTGGACACACTGAGGCACCAGGCTGCATGCTCTGGTCAACCCCCACCTTCACGTCACCTGTCCACAGCCAAGAGTGTAAGGAAGGAAAGGTCTCCTCCAAACTGCATCCAGGGTTGAAGGGTTGAAGGAGGCAGGATGGAGGTGGGCAAGGCCTCAGCATTTGGCCCCTGCTCTGTTAGGTAATGCAGCCTGCTAGGGCAGCGTGAGCCCCCAAAAAGTCTATTCCTAGGAGCAAGAGTCAACCCTACAAGGACAGCAGTCCTTAGGGAGCTGAGGTGGGGTAGGGGGTGGGGCGGGAGCCTCGCCTCCTTGTAAACAAGGCCCTGACCAGCCCACCACCAGACAGAGCAACCCTGTGATTACCACCCTGCCCTCTGGGTGGGAAGGGCAGGAAAGGAAGGAAGAAGAGAGGACAACACCCCTGGAAGAAACAAAGCCCATCCGAAAATAGCATGGCCATTCCAAGGAGAGAAACAGCTCCCCCACACGCAACCAGGACCGGCTGAGAGGCTGAGAACCGCCCATGAAGCTGGGTGAAGAGGAACTTCTGGCACGGGGCACCCCACTGCTGCTCCTCTCCTCCCAACACCTAGTGACTCCCCGGTTCCATGTGCCCCTCATGGAACTGTCTGATATCAGACCTGGGGACAGACACGGGTGGCTGCTCTTCACATCTCAGAGGCGCTCGCCCACTCAGGTGAGAAACACAGCGGCGGGAGAGGTCTAGTCAGGAGTCCGGTGCTAGGGCTGCCCCTTGACTATTACCTCCCATGTGGACTCTGAACAATACGAGACTGGAGGTCACTCCCTCTACTCCTTCCTTGCTGTCAGCACAGCCAAGATCCTCACACAGAAGCCTGCTGTGGATGCACTCCTGAGAGTGAGGGGGGACAGCAAGCCCACCTCGCTTTAGTACAGGAATGACCTGAGGCAAAAACCCCCACGGTTCAAAACAGCTGTGATACCTGGGGAGGTGGAATCAGAGTGAGAATATGACCAAGAAAGTAAAGAGCCTTCCTTGGACATTGCATTCCAAACATACTCAGAAACAGCACCCTCCCAAAATAGCTCAAATGTAACTTCCGAGAGGTCAATACTAGACCTCACTGCCCACCTGTCCCCCTTAGAGGCTTGGTGGGGCTGAGGCACCAGAAGTCCAGAAAGGACTGAGGGCAGCCCTTCCTATCACCTTGCTCTGGCCACAACCTCTCTTCTCCCTCCAAGAACAGGCCCGTCTCACAGCAACGGGAGGGCAGGCCTGCCATCCACAGTCACTGCAGCAAAGACAGACAGGGTGCCCCGGGGTGGGGGTGGGGAACTGAACAAAGGGCCCAGCACCTCCAGCACAAACTTTCTATCTCCTGCTGCCTGTCAGTACCCTGGGAAAGGCCAGTTAAAAATAGCACCTGGGAAACTGAGGTCGGAGCAGAGATCTGTGTCAGAATGCCCAGCTCTACTGAGGACCAGCCTCTAGAAATCCCAGCCCCTGTCCCAGTATTGGCCTTAGATAGACCTGAAAATGGCTGACAAATGTCACTTAACCATTGTGCTCAAAACACCACCCACCCTCATTTCTCTGGGGGACTTAGGCCCCTAGCCTCGAGGGACAACCCAGACCCTAGCAGCCCCCTCCCCACCTACCACAGGAAGCAGAGTTCCGAGAACCAGACTAAGGACCTACAGATGGATTTCAAAACATCTGTCTCCCCTCCTCTAGTTCTATAAAAACGTGAATGTGGGCCTCCCCGGTGGCGCAGCGGTTGAGCGCTGGGTTGCGAAGCAGCCCGTGGCCTCTGCGGCGCCGGTTCGATCCCCGGCTGCTCCCCGGCCACCGGAGGAGGGTCCCACATGGTGCGCAGACCTCTCCTGCCGCCCGCTGCTCCCCTCAGCAGTGTACTTCGGTCCTTCTGCCTGCTCTGCTCCCCGCTCTGGCTCTGGTGAATTCTTCACCCTCCCGCGCTTCTGACTGTACCCAGTGCATGTATAAACAAAACAAACAAACAAACAAACAAACAAACAAACAAATAAATAAATAAAACATGCCTCTATAAAAAAAAAAAAACATGTGAATGTGCTCTAGCCATCCCAGTCTCCAAATAAGACCTCCTGGAAAAGGCAAACCATTTGTCCCTCAGTCTAGACAGAGCTTCACAAGCTCGGCTCACAGCACACCTGGGTGCCCTCTCTCTGCCTACTATCTGACACCTTGCAAAGCTCTTAACCTACAGAAGCATAGCCAGGGACCAAGGCTGGGGAGCAGATTCTGGACCAAGAAATAAACAGCTGAGACAGTGTCAGCAAGAAGGACTACAAGGCTGACGGGAGGGCACAGATATGGAGAGAGCTGACAGTCAGGGAGCCTGAGAAACAGAGACCCACGCGAACAAAGCCAGATCCAAAGGGACAGAGACAGAGAGCCCATCCACCGGAGACATGGAGACAGAGTCAGCCAAACAAACAGAGATATTCGGGGACTAAAAACAAGGGGGTAGGCAAAGCTCTGGTACCACCGACACACAGGCCCACTCCCAAAGCCTCACCGGCTGTTGAGGCCTCCTACCCCTCGCCTCCCACCTCCTGCACAGCTTCAGGCAGCGAGAGTAGGTGCTGTGGTCCAAGTCAGGCTGGTGGCCCTGGAGGAGGGGCCCAGCAAGCCCACACTCGCAGGCAGCGGCAGAGCTGGCAGTGGGGCCAAGGGGAGATCTTGACGGAAGGGCGGGACAGGGCTCGCTCGCCTACAGTGGCCTCCCAGGAAGAGGGGCTCCCTGGCTCCTTCCCATTGCCTCCCTAACTCCTGGGGTGACCCCAGGCACCAGCTCCAGAGACATACACCCCGGAAACACAGGAAGCAACTGAATACCCCCCCAAGGGAACACAGGCCCTTACCGGAAGCAAAGGATAGGGGAGGAAAAGACTATAGGGCAGACCCCAAAATTTGCAAACCCCCAAAGAAAAAATTCTGGCTTAACACCTTGCCACCTAGCCCAGAATAGCACTCATCCTAATCTTCCTATTTCCAAAATGTTCCCTAAAGTGCCATGCCTACCCTCCCTACCTGGCCCTCCCCTTCAAATCCACAGACTATACCCTTTCTGACCTCGAGGTCTCTCTACAGGTTTTCTGCTTTGGTCCATACTACCACTAATTCCCCAAACCTAGCCCCAACCCACAACTTGTGAGTAAATCAATCATAATCCCAGATACTGGGCCCAAAGGAAAGGAAACCCTGGCTGGGGTAGGAGTGCTAGGGCCATGGTGGGAACAGATCAGTTCTTTCACAACCAGCCTGGATTCCAGAGCCTACTCCATTACCTTGAGTCCATCAACCTCTCAGTTCCCCAAACCTGAAGTTCAGGTAGAAAGGGCTCTGTAAGGAACAACCCCTGCCCCCCATCCCTGCCTAGTCGAGTCAAAAGAGCTGGGAGCACAGGGTATTTCCTTGGCCTGGCTCTCTTCCCAGCCCTCCACGCTCACCCCTACCCCAAAGCTACCTAAAGCCAGCCCTGACCCAACCAGTTCCTCAGACACCCTGCGGATCAGATAACAGAAGGTGGGGAGAGTGGTGGGTGGGGCCTCTAGCAGGCAGATTGAACTGCGGAGGCTGCAGGTGAGAGACATGACTCAGGAGATGTCCCCTGAGGCAGGATGGGGGCGCTGGGGTGGGGGTGTCTGGACAAGAGGGCCCTGTGAAGGGAGACTGGGACTAAGAGCTTGGGTGAGAGGTCCAGACAGAGGAAAGATGGCAGCTCTGGGAGTTGCTGAGGGGCCCATCAGGAGAATAGAGGCTGCCAGGAAGAGGGTGGGACTGCTTTGGGATTCTCAAAGGCACCCAGGTAGAGAGTCAAGAGTTCTTATCCTGGAAGGAGGTAGAAGGGAAGGGGAGGCAGAGGATTAGTGGAGGACTGTTCAGGAGTTCCACAGTCCCCAGCTGTGGCCCTGAGGCCAGGCTGAACCACTTCCTACGCTGCCTGGCCTTAACGACCATTTGGCCTCGACCCACACAACCAGGGCTACAGCCCAGTGGAAAAAGGGTTGCAGAGGCAGAGCCAGGCAGGGAAAAATCCCCTCTGAGCAGCAGCAGCTGCAAACTTATCCAGAAGCACTCAGGAGGCAGACCCAAGCCAATCCTCCCCTTTCACCACACAGGAGGGAACCTTGGGGGCAGAAGAGGTCTCGCCCACATGCCCCTTCCTCCCAGTGCCCTTGCAGGCAGTGTGGTGTAGACAGCCCCTCCCCAGCTCCTACCTCCCCTCAATGACTGTGATGACATCGTTCATCTGGATGTGCAGCTTGTCTGGTTCCTCAAAGTCCTGAAGGGCCCGCATGTCAGTGGGCTGGGCCTGGGGGCAGACACAGGTCACTGCCTACCCTGAAAGCTAGCCCAGCTCTGATACCCCAGCCCCCGTGGGTAGGCCTGCCCTCACCTCCAGCAGGAAGTCCCGCAGGGCCACGAAGGTGGGTCTGTCTTCAGGCTTGTGAGCCCAGCACTGGACCATGACATTATAGATATCCTGGGGGCAGTCCTCAGGCCGGGGCAGGCGCTCACCCTCCTTGTCAATCTTATGTAGGATCTGGTCATGTGGTGGTACAGTATGAGGGCAAGCAGAGCACCCAGCTCTTCTCTTCCCGCCTTCCCACCAGTCCATGGAACAACTGGAGCTGTAGGCCACCATGCCTCTACCCCAAAGAAGAGGACTGACCCTTATTCACAAGTATGGGGGCTCCAGATAAGCAGACGGTAAGAGTTAAGAATGTGAGCAAGGGGTCTCCCTGGTGGCGCAGGCGGTTGAGCGCAGTGCTGTGAAGCTGTCCGCAGCCTCTGCAGTGCTGGTTCAATCCCTGCCGGCCTTGAAGCAACCCACATGGCGCGGCAGACCTCTCCTGTCTCGCCCGCTGCTCCCCTCAGCAGTGTACTTCAGTCATTCTGCCTGTTCTGTTCCCTGCTCTGTCTCTGGTGAATCCTCTCACCCTCCTGCGCATCTCGCCTGTACCCCAGTTCTTGTATAAATAAAATAAATCTTTAAAAAAAAAAAAAAAGAATGTGAGCAAGCCCCAGTCTGTCACTCTCCTGATCACTGGGGGGCCTTCTCTGTGCTCAGCTGCCAGGGAGATCACAGATGAAAGGTAAGGGGACAGGAATCCAGCAGATAAGAGTCAGTCCCAACAAGGCCAGGTGGAAAACCAGAGATCAAATTGACCACCCTGTTGGGAACATGTCCCCCAGCCTCCTCACCTGACTGCCATTGAGGCCAATCCAGGGCTCCTGGCCATAGGTGAACATCTCCCACAACGTTACTCCAAACATCCAGGTGTCACTGGCATGGGAGAAGGTACGCGTCTTCAGGCTCTCAGGGGCACACCTGGTAGAGGCAAGGATCAAACAGAAGGCCTCTCAGTGTATCCCAGTGTGCATAAATACTCATTCAACAAGCATTTTGCTCCATGTGTAGGCTCAAAGGTAGATAATGGGAACCTCTGGACTATGGGGTGCACAGAAATGGAGAAAATCATCTTGCTTAGCTCTTTTACTCACATGCAGCCTGGGCTGGGAAGAGGGTGGGTGAGGTTCCCAGGTCAGGAATGGTAGGAGGCTCCAGGAGGGAGCAAGTGGGTGGGGAGAGGGATAGATCTCAGCTGTTTTCTAACTGTGGTGGGAGGATGACAATTTCCAGATTTTGGGCAGGATCCTGGGATTGGGGTCACTTCAGCAGGAAGGTGTAGGTGGGAAATTTGGAGAGGGCCTGGGGAAGAATCAAAATGGGTGGAAGCAGTCACACTGGCTTCACTCAAATAACCCCATACTCCCTCAGGGACTCCCTCATGGGTGAAGGAGTGGTACACTACTGCAGTGAAGCTTGCAAAGGGGCTATTCCAGGGTGAATTGAGGCACAGAGTGAGGAGTAAGGTGCCCGGGGTGGAGAATCAAAGGCTCTCTCCTGGGACTAGAGAGCTGGTCCAGCCACTCAAAGCGGGTGGAACCCCAAGAAAGTCACTCAGAATCTTAAGCCTCCTGCTCACCATGTGTGAAATGGAAATAACAGTAACCGGCTACTTCACAGGGTTGTTTTAAGGGGGCTGTTAAAAAAAAAAAAAAATTGTCCTTGTAATTGTAATTGCAATTTACCATTCAAACCAGGATGCTTGAGTGTGAACTGGCATGCTATTAACTGTTCCAGGACAACAGGCATAATCCAGGATGTATGGTCCCCTACATAAAAGTTATCAATTAGGGTGCCCACACATCCTGGATTATAAGGGTTTCTCACAGCCACAGCTCTGGCAAGCAGAATTGGACCAAGTCCTCCCACCCCCAAAGGAGAGAGACTATACCCCTTTGGGTGCCTCTGGCCCTAAAGGACCACAATGGTCTCAGTTCAGGATAAGCTCACACGAGGGCCAGGACAGGGCCAAGTACCAGCCCAAAGCACAGGTGAGCAGGCTGGGTCAGCCTACAAAGTCCAGCATGTCCTGGCCCTGCCTGACACTAGCTCTACCTGGAACACCATTACCCATTAGTTTTTCTTCACATGGCTAACTTCTGATATTTCAGGAGTTTGATATACAGTCCTCCAGCAAGCCTTCTAATATCTCATCATATAATGTGCCCCTTTGTGAGTCCCCAAAGCATTGTGCATTCCAGTATCTGGCACACGGGTTCTCAAGAATTTATGGATGGATGACTGAATGGGTGGCCACATAAGAAGGGCAGACAGTGTCAAGGGCTGGGGTGGGTACAGAAGGGCCTAGAAGTTCTGAGGTCTGAGGAAGCAGTGTCAGGGTGGGACCCAGGCCCTGTGAGCTGGCAACACCTGCCCCTCACCAGGCAAAGGGCACCTTGCGATGCTCCTGCATGACGTAGTGGTCATCATTCTGGGGTAGTGCGCGCATCAGCCCAAAGTCCCCGATCTTGACCAGGTCACGGGTGGCCAACAGCAGATTTCGGGCAGCCAGATCACGATGAATAAAGCGCTTGGACTCCAGGTAGCCCATGCCCTCAGCCACCTGCACAGCGTAGCGGCTCAGAGTACCCAAGAGGAAGTGACCCTGGTGCTTGCGCAGCCGGTCCAACAATGATCCCAGAGGTGCCAGCTCTGTCACCTGAGGCCATGGAGGAGGTAGGAAGAATAAGCATGGCTGAGCCCTGCCCTTCCTTAGCACCCCATGCTGGGTTCCCCATTTTTCTCCTGAAAGCCTAACAGAGCCACACTCTATGTTCCTGCCCTTCCTACCCTCCTAGAAGTCCAACAGCTTTCCAAGCCGCTCCCTCAAGGCAACATGGTAAGTTAAGATCTAGAGAGAAGCTGCCCTGGGAGCAGCTTTCAAGTTAGAAATTCCAAAAACTAAACCCTAGGGTTTGCCCCTCCCATGCGAGAAACTGTGCTAACAAGCACAGAAAAAAATCCAGAGATGAACGTGGGTTCCAGAGGACACAGTCAGTACTGGGTTAGCCCCTGTGAGCCCCTCTACATATTGGGTGGGGACACCTGTGACTTTCATCAGGATGGGCAGGAGTATCATAGCACAGGCTTGAGCGAGGGAGACTCAGAGACTACAGGCCCCTCCCTGTGCCCCATCCCCTCCTGCCCACAGCATTCACCATCTTCATGGGAGGAGTGAGCACCACACCATAGAGTCGAATGAGGTTTCGGTGGTCAAGCGAGTGCATGGCGTTGACCTCCCGGATGAAGTCGTCCATGGCTTCTGGCTGGCTCAGCACATCAGGCTTTAGACACTTCACAGCTACACTCACCTGCGCAGAGTGGATTATGGAAAATCAGACCCCAGTCAACAGTCTGAGCCAAGCTACTCCTCCCTTCAACTCAGCTCAAACATCTGCCTCACATCTGCTCATCTGAGTGGGTGATCGATCATGAGTGCCTGTGACCTGGCTAGGGAAGGGCAGCTGGCTGACTCAAAGGGGTGAGCCACTGAACCTCGCATTCCACCATGACAGAATATTAAAATTATATAATGAATTGGAATATTAAAAATGCTTTCAGGGTAGAAAAATGCCTTAAATATTATGCTAAAAAAATGAACTGATAGTGACAGAAGTCAGAAAAGTGACTTCCCAAGAGGAAGAGGATCTCAAGTGGAAGAGGTATGAGGGAGTTTTCTGGGGTGCTAGAAATGTTTTATCTCATGATCTGGGCAGTTATTAAAGAAGCCCATACATATATATAACAATTCACTGAGCTGTACAAGCAAGAATTATAAATTTTATTGTATATATGTTACCTACCCCTCTGGGGAAAGTATAAAAAATACAATAACTAAGTGGAAAAGGTAAGGCTTTAAAAGTTGAATCCCAAAGATGTATTCTAACTAAATTCATCAAAATATCTACAGGGTGAAAAAAGGCAGACATGTTAACTCTGTAAAAGTAAGTTCCTTTTATAACTAAAAAAGACACAGACATGTCTAGTTAAACCTAGAGCATGGACTCCAGGGAGAGGCAGCCTATGACCTGCCCCACCCATATCTCAGCAGAGAGGACAGATCTAACTCAGAGGGCAAAGCGGGGCCTCTGCCATTAGTCTCTTAGTAGCCTGTCCCTCTGCCATGCCCACAGGACCCAGAAAGCTCACCGTCTTCCCCGAGGGGGCATCCCACTCTCCCCTGCGCACCACGCCAAAGGAGCCATCTCCCAGTTTCTCGAAGAGATGCAGGTCCTTCTCCCCGATGAGGCAGGTGAGGCTCTGCAGGGCCCCCTCTCCTGTTGGGCCCCCTGGGGTAGGTGAGGTCTTCCGGAAGGTGCTTTGAGAGTGATGAGCGGGGAACTCAGCTTCTAGCCGCTTTCCACTGAACACCTGTTTGAAGGGAGTCAGGGGCCAGATGGAAACCTGAGGCCCCAGAGCTAATTACTCAGTTCTACCCCACTGAGTCCTCAGTTAGGCTTCCAGATAGAGCCTGGCTTTGCCAGACTGCCAAACAGGGGGTCGCCTGGCCGGAGAGCCCAGCCCCTCCAAACCACACCCCTAAAAGAGAACCGATAGCCTCAGTGTGGCCTCACGGTGCATGCCAGAAACTAACAGGCAAGTTGTCTGTGGCTACCTTGGCACCACACCCAGCTGTGGGGACAGCCCAAAGCCACTCCAGGCACCCTGTTGTGCCCAAACCCTCCCCTCCTATAGATCCTGCCCCACACAGACGCTATCCCTTAAACCGAGCAGATGGGAAGGAGCCGAGAGGCCCTCCACAAACACCTCCCTGTCCATTTTTAGCCCTGGCCCCTTCTCTGGGTTGCCCATTTGGCGCTGTCTGTCTCCACCCTCCCTAGGGAGTCGGCTGCCCTTCATCCTGCCAGGGGAGAGGATAATTTGAGCCTGAGGTTGGACTGTGTTGGACTGTGTGTGTGTATAAGGCCTTGCTGGGGAAGGGCCTGGGAGGACAGCTGGACTTTTGGAGGGGCGCCTAGAGCTGAGGGCTGAGAAAGAAGGAAGACTGGAGCAAACTCTGTGGCCGGGGTTGGAGAGGGAAAAGGCCAAAAAGCTCAGAGGACGGGAGCAAGGAGTTCCTGAAAGTTATAGCTGGCCTTATCAATCTCAGTTGGCCACCCCACTGGGGTATCCAAAACCTTGGCTTCAGGCTGCAAACTCTGCCCAGCTAAGCGGCTGCCCTGCAAGGCTGGCAGTCTTATCTGTGTGGGGGTAGGGTCTGTCTCTAATCTGAGGGCCTCTTCGGATGGCTGCTCCATCCTTTCTCCCAGTAACTGGAATCCCTAACATTTGTAAGTAGTGGTCAGCTGACAAGGCCCTTCACAGACTTTATCTCAAGGGACCCTCCCCATGGTCCTGTAGGTGAGTGGACAAGTGTGGGCAGTACCATTTCACTAAAGACATGGCCAAAGTCTGGAGAGGTTTACTGACCACACAGGGACCTCCTGCAAGTCAATGATAGATCAAGGCCTCTGCAATGGCACACCACACAGCTCTTCCCTCCTGCCTTCATCCCAACACACATCCTTTCCTAAAACCTGGGCAAGGGGCCAGGACAGTGTCCCAGAAAAGGCCGTAGGATCCCAAGAGACAGCCCCTCTGCCAGATCGCAACCAGGAAATCTCTGCTGCCCAATCCCAGGCCAGCTGTTTGGCCCTGCCTGGCCCCCTCCCCTGCCTCCCTCCCCTCCCCTCCTGGGCCAAAGTCAGGAGGGAAGGCTCTGGCTGGTTCATTTCCTCTCTCATTGTCTTCCAGACAATGGGCAAAGTTCCACTGAGTCAGAACTGGGACTCACCGCTCCACAGACCCAAATTAGGGCAATGGGAGGGGGCAGCAGGCTGTGGGGAAGGAAGCTGTCAGCTACACCAGATGACCAAAGAAACCCTCTCCAGACGAGAGAGGGTGGGGGAGGAGGGAAGCAAAGCAAGAATGTCCTGGGTCCAGACCGTCCCCACCAAACCATGCTGGACACTGGCCCTAACATCCAGACAGAGCGAGGGCTCAAGTTACGAGCACTTGTCAACGAGTGCCTCTTCCACACTGCACGCAGGCCCCTCACGTGCCGGCTCTGGCGGAGACAGCCACTCAGCCAGGCAGCTCTTCAAGTACCCTGCCCGATAAGACCCTGGAGGAAGAAGGTCTGTACAAAGTGCGAGATTACACCTGCCCGGGAAAGGGGCACTTCTCCTAGAACTGACATCAGCTGGGGGCCCCTCGAGGCTGCCCCAACTCACTCCTGGTCCACTGACCTTGCTCATCCAGGATTTGCGTTTGCACATGGCCTTTCTCCTCTTCACAGCCTCCCACAGTCTCCGCTGGCCTGCAGGAAGGGACGAGGAACCAGGTGCTGTTAAGGTGGTTGACATATCCCAGGATGAATGCACCTAGCAAACACGTCCTCCAGCCCCCTGGGGTGGGGGACCCATCATTGACTACTACCCAGCACACTGATGCCAAGGAATCAGGGGCCTCAAATAACCACATGGTCTCTTCATCCCACTCTAGGCAGTAGAAACTGGATGAAGGTGTACAACTATCAAAACTAACACTGGGGGTCTTTTCCCAGCCCCTCTTCCCAAAAAGAATCAATGTAAAAGAAGTGCCCTGATTTTCAGTTTTTCTCTAAGTTTTATTATGTTACTGGCATCAAATATCAACTACAGTATAAGTGAGGGTCTAATTTAGCACATAATTTCCTATTTATCTATTTTAAGTTGAATGTGCTAATAACTTTTTTTTTTTTTAAGATTTATTTATTTATTTATACAAGCACTGGGTACAGTCAGAAGCGCGGGAGGGTGAGAGGATTCACCAGAGCCAGAGCGGGGAGCAGAGCAGGCAGAAGGACCAAAGTACACCACTGAGGGGAGCAGCGGGCAGCAGGAGAGGTCTGCGTGCCATGTTGGACCCTCCTCCGGTGGCCGGGGAGCAGCCGGGGATCGAACCAGCGCTGCAGAGGCTGCGGGCAGCTTTGCAACCCAGCGCTCAACCGCTGCGCCACGGGGGAGGCCCCTGAATGTGCTAATAACTTCCTAATGTTCTACAAGGAATGCCATGATTTCAAAATATTCAACTACTACTTTTAGGATAAATATACAGAAAAGTGTTAAGTCAACTTATAGCAAACCTTTGTAAGAGAGAGACATATACACAAAACAAAAGCTAGCAAGCCATCCAAGGGTTTGCATCCTCCCTTCTCCACAAAGATCCCCAGTATTCAGAATGGTAAGAGGAGGAGGTGATGAAGGAAATACATCTTACAAATGTCTATACAAACAAAAAGGGATGTGCAATTAATTCTAGCAGCGGAGCTTTCAGACTTTATTCTTCTCAATCTCCAGTGCACCTTTCCAATGCAAACCGCTCTCCTGCGCTCACATGCATAGTAGCACATGGTGCCTCTCCCCCAGCCTTGCTGGCTCTAGAATAGGCAGCACAAGCTCTCAGCTACGACAGAACCTGGACTAAGGGGGGAGGGCAGTCCTGGGGACAGAGGAGGCAAATGGTCAGTGGGACAGGATAGGTAAGACCAATGTCCCTCACTTACCAGGCCGGCCCATGCCAATCTTCTCCAGGTCTTCATTCTTGACATACTCAAAGTGGGACAGGCGAGTAACATTGAGGTCGTCTCGGAGCCGCAGGAAGTACTGCTGTAGCTGCACCTCAGACAGCAGCTCCAGCAGCCAGCCTGTGCCCTCCTCCGGTTGCATGCTGCTGCTCCCCAGTCTCTGTGGGGAGAAGAGAATGGCTTAAGGACCTAGGGGTTTGGGGAGGTAATGGTGGTGGTGGTGGGGGGCAATCCCAAGTGTCTCATCCTACTGTGTGGCTGTGGAGATTTCAAACCACCTTGTCGCCACCCCCGCCCCCCTCAAAACAGCTGATAGATTAGCCTGTGAGGGCAGATTTAGGGCAGATGAGCTATAAGCTCAGGTCCTGGAGACAGGAGTGAGGGTCTAACTTCCAAAATCTGTGCTCTGTGGCTGAGTGGCCTGAGATCAAACTCTCCTGTTTTTAGGTCCTCCATCTGCTCTTAAACTTGCCTTTGAGAGTCTCTCCCTGAGACCCATCCCTGGACTCGCCAGCCCTGATGGAACTAAGCTCTGGCTAAGTTCCTCCAATGCCTGGCATGTCAGAGGCCTCTCTCCCCAGTCCCAAGACCATTCACAGGCCACCACTCTAGGGCCTGCAGGACTACCACTGGGGTAAGACAGAGGGAAGCCGAGGTTGGGGTGTGCTTCCAGACTCAAACCTGTAGCACTGCTCAGACCATCAATGGCTGTCACAACAGACGGTGGTCCAGTGTTATCAAAGCTTTCAATTTCTCAAGAAATACTGGAAATCTCAATTTAATATATGAAATCTCACCATTAATTTTTCTTGGCAAAGGTCATACATAAGTATAATATTCAAAAGGCACACTAGAGCCATAAAGTCTCATGCAACCTCATACCCTCCCTTAATGCATAGCCATCTAGCTCCCTATCCTCAAAGCCAGCTGCCTTTAGTGACTTTTATACATACTTCCAGACTATTTACCCCACCCCCAAATATTCACACATTACCCATACTGTTTTGTTCCTTGTTTTCACTTAACATTATATTGTTCTCCTGGCTTAACTATGTCAACTAATTTAAGTTTGAAACACACACACACACACCCCATGCTGGCCAAATGACACACATGTGCAGGTCACAATCAGCCAACAGGCCACCAGTGAGTGACCTCTGACCCACACTCTCTTGGGCCCAGAGAAGGAGGCAGCCTCAAAGTTAAGTAGACTGATCCACCGGACACCAAACCTATCCATGTCTATATAAGACATTGCAGAGCTAAGAGCTTGGCTGGCCAGTACCCCAACTCCCTGTTCAGTCCCCACTGAGGAAGACAGGTCAAGGGGAACAGCCAGCTGTACCCAGACCTCTTATTCCCCAATTCAGAGGTGGCCTCATACAGCAGCACTCATCAGAGACTGCACTAAGGAGAAGCAGCCGGGCCTGGCATGGGTCTCCTGCCCCACAGCTTCCAGCAGTACTGCCAACTCAGTGCCAGGAGTGTAGACTTTCCCAGGCAGCCCAGGGCAGTATGGAGAGTGACAAAAGGGAATGAGAAGCCCTCAGTTCAAACCCTGACTCTTCCGCCAAGGCGGCTGGGCCAGAGGAGGGGGAGGAGGGGTTCCAAACTTTAAGCTGTAACCCTTTACTGGATGGTTTCTCACAAGGGTTGTACAGCCCCCTAGGGGACACTGCTGGTTGTCACAGCGTTGGTGGGGTGCTAGTGGCATTTAGCGGGTGGTGAGGGACAAATACAAATCATACTGCAACACCCAGGAAGATCTCACGCACTGTTCCAAACCCCACACAACTTAATTCATGCAGGTGAACCTAGAACTGAATACCAATTTACATATGAACAAGATTGGAGTTCTGCGGTTTAAATACACACTGAATTTTCCTGAAATGGAACTACTGGGTAAACCAGGGAAAACCGGCTTTTTTTTTGTTCGGAACGTAGTAGTAAGTAGTTCACTATTCAGAAAAATGTCACTGAAGGCAACCCTCTCTCAGTCAGCTCTTGTAGATGTTGCTTTTATGGTGACTTTACCTGAGTAGGCTCAGCATTGATTTCACTGTGTCACAGAGTGTATTCACATTTTAGAATACGTAAAATGTTAAAATTACTTTCCTTTCTCCTTTATATTACAGGTGACATTATGTTGACTGACTATACACAAACACAAAGTTAACAGGCTATATTTCCATTAATTTTATGGAAGCAGAGTTAACTCCAACAAAACTAGCATTTACAAACAAATCAGTGTGAGCTTAAGAGGGGAGGGTACCACTACTTTCCAGAAGAATGCCCCAGGGCTGGCCAGGTGGAACTAGCCAGCATTTCCATTCACACTATCCTGCCTCTGTCATGGTTCATTCCCAAGATGGGGGCTCCAAGCCCACTTAGGGTAAGTGGTCTGTAAGACCCTCCTCTTCTTCCCCTATCTCCAAGTCCCTACACTCTTCTGAGGTAGGAGAGGTGGCTGCTCCAAAAACAGCGCAAAGCCATGCCCTGAGGGGTCAGGGCTGGGGAAGACCCAGCTGCACCTCCCGTAAGGCTGCTAGAACACACAGTCCAGCCTGTTCCTTTTCCCTGAAACACCAGCTAACAACTCTCCCTGTCTCGGCCGGACACTCCCTTCCCTCAAGAGCAGGGCTGTTCTGCGTAGGGGCATGTGTAAGGAGACTGGCAAGAACACTGGAATCTGATGAGAATGTCAGGGTCTGACATTCATGTCTCTACCATCAAGCCCAGGGTGACTCTCGACAAGTCTCCCTTTTCTACCTCCCCCTCCAGCCCAAGTTTCTTTGTTGACAAAACACACAGAATTACTGTAGCTCACCCCCACACCACCCCCCAAAAAGCCTCCGGTTAAGTGTGCGCCCAGCCCCTGCACACCTGTGTGTGACGCAAGCGGTCCTAGTGGAAGGCACGCACAACTCCTGCACAATTTTCTAACGCACTCGCTGAAAAGAATGCAGCAGCGGGGGGGAGAGGCCACTTGGCCCAGACCCCTGTCAAGCCCTCGCTGGAAGGACCCTCCAGCCATTCCCAGTCCTGATCTCTGCCCCTCAACAGATTACTGGCTCCAAGGAGCTGATCCAGTCCGTCAGGCCAACCCCTGTCCCCAGCCCCCCACTCACTGTGTAGAGTCGCCGCCGCAGTCTGGCCAGGAGAGGAAAGGAGAGCTCTAGGCCAGGGAACCGGCGAGCTGCTGGCATCTCCACGGAGCTGGACCCCCAAATGGGTCACTGGAGCTCTGGCCCGAGAAGTGGGAGAGCAGGGGCCTCAGTTCCTGAATTTCACACTCTGCCCAGAAGGGAAGCTGTCTAGAGGTCTGCTCCAAGAGTCCCACAAATCCCACGCGGGGTGTGGGGGTGGGAAATGGGGCAGACTAGGGTGGGCTCTTCTCCGCTTTACAGCTGTTTCCAGGCTGGCTAGTCTGTTAGGGGGCAGGCTAGCTCTTTCCTCGGCTGGCTGCAGCCTGGGTCCTCTGTCCTGTTTCTCTGTCTTCTCTCCAGTGCAGTGGTCACAGCTCCAGTCCTGCTCCCTGGCTCCCCCACCCGACTGCCCGCCCTCCCTCTGTCCCTCCCTCCCCAGCTGAGCAGCTCTGACACAGGCTGAAAAAGGACCTTTCTGAATCACTGCCAAGAGGGCGGCGGGAATGGGGGGACTCTTCCTCCCAGCCACCCGCGCTGGCCCCCCTGCCTCCCTATACACAAGGCCCCCTGTCTGTGACTTCCACCCCAACCCCCATAGTTGCAAACAACTCCTGGGATTTTAGGGTGGGGGCTATATCAGTCAAGGAGCAATGCAGAGTGGCTGCAGGCCCCCATATGGGCTTGTTTGAGACTGTGAGGGCTAGTCCACAGTCTGAGTTGGGGGCTTAGACTCTAAAGAGTCATTCCTGGACCATCAGACAGACCCTTCAAGATCGCTGCTGCCCCACCGCCCCACCCCCAGCCTTGGCTGGGTGTCTCCTGGCTCAGACCCTAATGTGGCCCTGTTACCCTGGTGCCCGACGGAAATAGGAGGCCGGCAGCCTGCCAGAGTGGGGCAGTCCAGCCAAAGGGAGGGGGGAATCTTCCCCCTCCTCCCCTGGGGTTGCCTTGTCTGCTGTCCACAGTACCCAGGGTGCCTCCTCTCCAGACCAGCTGGCTAAAGTCCCAAACCCCCTCAAAACAAACAAATATGCCTCCAGATCCCACCCCAAAACTGTAGGATTCTAAGCTGTAAGGGCTCTTGTGTAGCACCCACACAAGCAGACAACAGCCCCAGCTAAAGGGAGCTGGAGACACTCCATCAAGCCCCCACGGGCCCCCCATGTTCCTAGAGCTGACAAATGATCCCTCTGCCCCTCCTCAAAGGGCGCCAGCTGCTCTTACACCCCCCTCACTATGGCCCCAGACACACCTGACAGCTGCAGGAAGTCCTCTCAGGCTCCCCCAGCACCCCCCACCAGCCAAGCCCAGGGAGACCCTGTTTCTTACACACTGCTCTCTTGTCCTATCTAGCTGGCCACTGGCACTGGAGTCCCAGCTGGCTGGTAGGGTAGGCAGCTGGGGGTGAGAATTTGGGGGAGTCAGCATCTCAGCCTCTTTCCAGGACCTTTCTCAGTGCTTGACCTCCCTGGCACCTGGCAGGAAAGTACTAGATAGAAGAGACAGCCATTTCTTGGTCCACCTGGGGGACAGAGACAGTGACACCCCAGCAATCAAGTCCTTCTCCCCCATTTCCCTGTCATCCACCACTCAAAGCTGTGTAGCCAGCCAGGTATGGCCTCCCCTCAGCTGAAGTGAATCACAGTCTGAGGCTGGGGTCAGACCTAATGGACAAGATGAGGTCAAGCCAAGGTCACATTGGAGCTGACTTTCCCCCCAAACCCTGGCAGATCATGCACACAGCTCAGAAGTCTACCTCCTACCAGGCACCACTCTGAAGGAAAACTAGGACCTGACTTCAGGGACAATTTAAGCAGGATTACTCGCTCTGATGCAAGGGCAGCTGGATCAGACTGGCCAGATTAAAAATTCTAGTCATCCCCAGAAAGATGTGCCCTCAATCCACCAAGCCTCAATGCCTGACTCTACTCTGAATGTCAAGTAAGAACAGCCTCAGTAGCTTGCTCAGCAATCCGGCTGTGAGGAGAAGCAAAGCAGAGTTAAGGGGTTAAGCTCAGGCCAGCTCATGGACCCCCTTCTCCCGGCCCTGAAAAACAGCCCCCACCTTTCTGTCCCCTTGTCCTGTCAGTTACTGCCCCCTTCTGGTCAAGAGAGAAAGTGCATTTGATCACCAAGGCAAGGAGGTGGGGGGGTGGTGATAAATATGGTGATCATATTTTCCAAAGCAAACAGGAACATTCGGCTTAATACGCATATTCGAGATGCCAGTAAATGGCAATGTCCAGGGCAAAGGGACTCATTGCCCATAAAAGACCAAACCTAAATCCTGGCCGTGCTTCGGGGACTTTCAGGTGGGCACTGAGGAAAGACCAAAGGGCAGTTTAGTTGGGTCCCAGAGGAACTAAAGACACTGAGGCAGATGACAGCATCAGTAATTCACCCTTTCTGACAGCTCCCCCCAAGTCTCCCTCCCCCCAAATAAGCACCAGTCTTCTTTAGCCAGCTTCAGTCCCTGGGCACTGTCCTGGGGCCCGAGAGCACAGGCACCCTGCCACCCTCCACCCTCCACCCTGAGAGGCTGCAGCAGAGGGCGGGGCGGGGCCAGGTGCTCAGCTCACGGCAGATGAAGGGTCTAGGGCCAGAGTACCTGGATGTTTATCCCCCGGGCTCCCCGTTACCTGTAGTCCCTCCTCGCCCCCCGTCAGGCGCTGATACGCAGATCTCTCCCCCATGGAACCCCAACGCCCAGCGTCAGTGCCAGGAAAGGCAGCAAAGCCTCCCGCAGCCGCCGCCCCTCCGCCGGCACCCGCCGCGTCACTGCCCTGCGCCCTGCGGGCGGCCTCCGGCATCCTCTCGGGAGGGCAGGGCGGCCGAAGCCCTCAGAGGGGCCGGTCTGCGCGCCCGCCCTCCACACCCCACAGCCTCGAAGCCCCCACGGGGGGCCTGAGCTGAAACAAAGTGGTCGGGGCTCCCCTGCCGGCCCGCATCCGGCCCCTCCCCCGCCTGGCCCCCGGCTTCCCCCAACCAGCCGCGCCTCCCACCCCTTCCCTGGAGCCTCGGCCACAGGCTGACCTCCAAAGCCAGCCGGGTCCCCAGGGGCGCCCCGCCTTCATTACCATGGTGCCACGGCTCCTTTCGGCCCCTCGGCCACCTCCCTGACCCCAGAGTTACACCAATTTGGCCCTGGGGATTCAAGGGCCCCCATATTCCATGGCAATAAGGAGGTCCATCCAGGAAGCTCATGGAAGAGATGCCTCTGTCCTGAGACCACCTCCCTCTAGATGGGGCCCTCCACCTGCCCTGATTCCACCAGGCTCCAAGAATGTGCCCACCTGTCGGGCTGCCTGACGCTCCATTCCGCCTGCCACCTGGCTCTGCGCCCAGCGAGTCTCCCCAGCCCACTCCCTGCCCAGCCTGGAAGCCCAGCCTGGAAGCCACGCCTCTCCGCATCACACCCGAGGGAGACGGCAGCGGCCCCAGCGCTGTGCCCCTTCTTGGCCTGCCTCGACATCTCCCTCCACCCTCTCACCCGCCAGTCTGTAGGGGCTGTGCACTTGGCTAGGAGCTCACAGCAGGACAAAGCACTGGAGCTGACCTCTCTGGCCTCAGAGGAGTGACTCCGGAAACCCACACTCCCTGCTGGAGGAGCAGTTCCAACACATGCCCATGCAGGGCTCTCACCCCATACTGGGGTGAGGCCATGACTGAGGAAGTCCCACAGCAGAAGCTCCTCCTGTCCTCCAGCCCCGAGGGCCCCAAGGCACCCCACGCACACCCTCTCACTCTGCTGGCATCTGAAGCATCCACTGACTCCTCAGTATCAAGTATTTAGGGCTAAGCTCAGTACCTATACCTTCAATCACCCTCACCAATAGGATAGAGGAGGAGGAGGAGGAAGACGCTGAGATACTTCTTGCCTCCTACTCCTCCCCTCCCCAAACCTCTAGGTTGAAGAAAGACCCCAGGAGGGCACAGAGTTCCCATAAAAATCACTCTTCCACAAGCTATTTCTCCACCTGGAAACAGACTAAGTTGGGATGGCCCTGTGCTTGGGGGGGTTTGGTGGGAGGAGGGAAGGGGTCCTTTATTCTAGGCAGAAGCTCCTTTGCTTCCTACCATAGCTATTGCTAAAATTACTTCTGGGGGCAGCTCCAGGAACCCTAAGTCAGGAGGCTGTGGAAAAGAGGCTGAAAATGCCAGGCCTATTCCTTCTTGGTTGAAGAGTATGGTTCAAAGCATTCTCCCGTCCTGCTTTTCTATCTCCTCGCTTCACATGTCCCCTGCCTAATACCATCCTACAATAAGATAAATACAGGGTTCAAAACGTCTCTAGGATTTGAAGAATCCACCCACATGACACCCCTCTGGTCTGTAACTTGCTCTCTTGGCTCTAAATGGAACCAGGAGTAGCAAGAACCAGGGTGCCTCTGCTGTCCACTCCCTTCCCCCAGCCTATCCAACAGCATCAGTGAAGTGACAAATCCACACAGAAGAGCAGATGTGACATGTAATTTCCGGCCAACAGGATTTTTCCAAAACAATCTACCGTATTCTCCAGAATATATGCCAACCCCACTTCCAAGTCAATCCTCTCCCACCTCCACGCTCCCTTTTCTTCAAGTCTTGGAAAGAAAACAACATACTGGGGAGAAAGAGGGCTTAAAGCTCTAATTTTTACATACCCCCCACCATGCCTTGTCACCCTCAACTCACCACTCTGTGCAGGGCCCACGTTTCTAGCTCAAGGCCAGGCTGGTTCCCCTCAGGATCTCATCCCAGGGGGAATTGCACCAGGCAACCCCAACCCCACACCTTCAGGTCAGCCCAGATCTGACATCACACTGGTCCGGGGAGGAGGCTGGCCAGGGGCCAAAGGAGAGAAGGGAGTGATTCAGACATACACCATGACTGTCCACACCCTCTCCATCTCCAGGACACAAGGGCCCACTCTGTCCCAGGGGAACTTGGCAGCTCAAATCCTGAGGTCAGGCAAGACTGAGGCGTATTTGCCAGTAGTACTGGGTCTACAGGCCTGAGTCCAGCCCTGAAGTCTCTGCACTCTTCTCCATAACAACTGGTATTTCCTAAGGCTTTTTGACCTTACCCTTTCTTCTCTTCTCAGTGGATGCTCTAGCGGGGATCACATCCTATCTTCCACACTGATAACCACCCTGTGCTGCTGCCCTTCATTCCTGAGCTCCTGAAGCTCTAAACCCCATTCCCAGGGAACGTAAAGAAAAGTTCAGAGTTACCGCAAACTCTGTGTCCAAGCTGTATTCCTCAGCACACTGCTCAACCTGGCTAATTGTGCTCATGTATTCCGATTGAAAATATCGTAGGCCAACATTAAGAACCCGCCTAGTCTAGAAACCTTACTCTCTAGTTCCCCAACAATCAAACAGACCTGGCTGAAACCTTGACTC